GATGCACCACCACTCCTGAGTCTGCTAAATGTTCCTGGTTTTTTTTTGCAGTCAAATGGGGGTTTTTATTTGTCTTTCTGACCAGCATACGAGCAGTTCTCTCCGAGAATTGTCTTGGTCTTCCAGATCTCATCTTGACCTCCACAGTTCCCCTGAACTGCCATCTCTTAATTACATTTCTCACTGTGGAAACTGCAAGATGACAATGCTTTGCTATCTTCTTCTGTAGCCTTCTCCTGCATTGTGGGCATCAATAACTTTCATTTTCAGAGTCTTACGCAGCTGCTTAGAGGAACCCATGGTTGTTGAGTGTCCACAAGTGTGTGCACAAGGTTTGAAGAGTCAGAGTATTTGTAAAGCTTTGAAATTGTCACCTGCTGACATTTACTAATGACAGCTGTTGCCATGCATCAGATCTAATGAGCTGATTAAGGTCTGAAACCTTGTAAAAAGAATCTGAGACTTTGGAACTCTTAGGGTGCCCAAACTTTTGCACAGTGCCACAATAATGTTTTTATTTTTTATTTTTTGTTCAATTTATGATATAAAAACTAACTATGCATCAATGTTTGCTGAAAATATTGTGCATTTTTTCCATTTCCTACAGACTATGTTTACATCTTTTCAATTAAAAATGACCAAAATATGTTATTTATTGAGTTTTGCATACCACTGTAAACTCTAGGGTCTTTGCTCACTCTCAGGCATTCTCAAATTCTAAAAAACAAATGTCTAGGATATTGTGTATAATTTTTATGCACCAGGAAGTCGCTATCAACATGCCGGAGACTCAAGGAACTTCCAAAAGAGGTGGGATGTCTGTCTTGCTTTAAGCACCACTGATCTTAGCAGTACCTGCAAAACTAGACACCAAACCAATCTGCCTGTCACTCTCACGTTCCTTCTTACCACACCTAGATCTTCTAACCCAAAATGCACCAGGCAAAGGTGTTTGGTGTGACTGCCAGCTGTTATAATGTTTGTGACATACTCTCTGCAGGTCCTCACTCAAAAGTTGCCTTTGAAACTGGAGAAGTTAACTGATATTGTTGATGTGTTTTCACAAGTGAAGGGTGTTATGGAGCGGTTTACTGCCACACCGTGTCATGCATTTTCCTTCTTTGGAGCTGTACAGTGAAAGACTTCCTGAAGAGGGAAAAAAAAAAAACATAAAAGCTAAAATTTAAAAAGGGTTTCCTGGAATAATAGATAAACTGCTGGAAACCCTGTGGGGGTATAGGTGAGTGGTCATGTGACACTCCGTTCATTTGACAGGCCTTCACGGAGAGCCCACACTGACAGTCTAGCCAAGGCAGGCCTATAGAGGTTGAGGTTAATGTCGAGTCTGCCAAGCGACTGTCTGCCAAGCGTCTCTTTCTCACATGCTGACATTTCAGCCAAGACAAATGATGCCTGGCTGGCTCTGAAAATAAAAACAGGAGAATTTCTAATTTGCTTTTTTTTTTGCGTCTGAGCACATAAAGCACACATACGTCTTATTTTTTTCTGAGATTTATTGCTTGATTTTTTTCATTAATTACAAGGTAATTATTATTTTTATAATACTGCTGCATGAATCACACAGACCATTGCTTTCACCGGCTGGCATTTAATTCAACACTGCTTAAACCGGCTTGCTAATTGCATGAATATCCAGAAGAACTGGGAGGATTGCAGTATATTTTTCTTAAGACTTGCAGAACACTGAATTGTAAAACACCTTTCCCAGCAACTTTGGGTGCTGGTATATGGGAAGCAGTAAAACAAATCCAATTAGCTATCCCTCAGCAGCAATCTCCAGTTCAACTGCACACCTCACACACTTGTTTATTTTGAACTAAAGCCACAAAATCCCTTTCTGCGAACAGAATCTCCCTCAATGCATCCAGAGCATGGAAAGCTGTGGTCTGCTCAGAGGTACTAGCAGCCTAAGAAGCAGCAGGAGAAGACATAATCAGCCATTTAAAGCACAGGGACACTGTGAGAGACACCACAAGGACATTAGGAGGGCAATGTAGACGCGGTGTAGAGATCACAAACTCCAGGGAGAGCATAAAGACTGCGTGAGGACAACATGAGGACAGTGCAGGGAAAGACTGAGGAGGCAAGGACTAAATGGCGACAAACTGCTGCTCTCTCCCCACATTCTCTGACAGCATCCAAGAATTTTACCTGGTTCAGTTATTCAGCTGAAATCACAAGAGTAGCGATCTGGCTTTGAGGTCATTAAGCCCTTGAAGATTCATTAAAAAAACATAAAGCTGTGTTGCTCTCTGGGGCCAGGAGCTAAGGATGTAACAGCAGTGATGCTGCTTCTTATCTACTCTGCATTGGACACACAGACAATATTAGCCACAGACCAAGCTAATGGAGTAGACAGCATCCGGGGAAGGGGGGGGGGGGGTACTGCGGGAGGTAGGTGAGGCAAAGATTAAGTAACGCATTCTCTACAACAATGCTCACATTCCGCTTGCCTATCCGTCTACACTGTGTGTGTGTGTGTGTGTGTGTGTATGTGTGTGCCTCTTGCATTACATGAGCATGCGCCCCCATTTTCACAGGGGTCACATTCCGATGCAGCGTCCCTCAGCCCATCATCAATCACAGGGACGACATGCGGCCGGGGGGGGAGGGGAGCGGGGGTCTGAGTAATTAACAGGACTGCATGTAAACACCCCCACTGCAACCTGATAAGAGGGGAGATTTGCATTTAGCTGCATATCTGTCAGAAGATGAGCCCACAGTGAGTAATGACCGCGGGGGGACTGCAGCCCCAGGGCTGTTAGGATGAGGGTCGCCGCTGTCTGCAGGTACGCATGCTAGGGTGACAGAATCCGCAGAGGGCATTCTCACAGGAGTACAGCTCTATCTGTCATTGTATCTGTGTCATCTGTACATACATCTTAATCCTAAAGTGAAACATTTTCTTTTTTTTAAATAAAGTACTGGCTTTTTACATTTGCTGCTACCTATTTTGACTGTAAACCTTGTACGTTAAGTGCAGTATTTTTATACCAAATGGTTACCAACAAATAAAGGGCCCATCTATATTTTGCTTGATTTTGTCTAAGCTGTACTTATGCAGCTGCATTTTCATATAACACTTTGCATACAGAGCGCTTCTGTCACTGCTTTAGCATACAAATAACATCTCGAAGACATTCTCACAGGATCAAGGAATCACTGACATACTGATAAATGGCTATGTACATATTTATTGGGAGTCTCTACAGGGGATCTGTACCTGCTTGCACTGCATGAGTACACAAATACTGAAATGGACACACAATAGACCAATAGAGCTTTGTATACAGCACCTACGATTGGAAAGATAAGTGAAAATGGAAACAGTATGACTTCTGTTGCTGGGAATCAGTTGATTGGATGCAACATTACCTGCTGCTCTAGCTGGCATCAGTGAGGAGCTGTCTCTGTTTGACCTTGACCTGCCCAAACCACAACTGTCTGACCTAATAGACAGAGGCAACCTAAACACAAGACACCGCCTTTTTCAAAATGTCTTAACAGCAATGCTCACAGTATCAGTGGTACTACAGACGCCATCGATCACAGTCATCAGATACCACCAACTGTTACCAAACCAACTGATCACTGTCAACAGATACCATCAGTTGTACTACAAACCCAGTGATTGATCTCATAAAATACAATCTGATGTATTGTAGAATCCAGTGATAATGGTTATTGCATATCACCTGTACTACAAAACTCCAGTGACCATGGTTATAATATACCACCTGTACAACAAAACTCCGGTGACCATGGTTATTATATACCACCTGTACTACGAAATTCCGGTGACCATAGTCATCAGCCAACACATCAGGTGACAGGGACCTTGGTTATCAGACATCACTAGCTGTACTACAAACCTTCGAACCTGAAGACTTTGGAAAAAGCACATATTGTAAAACAAAAAACGTGAGTGAGAGAAGAGAATATATTTCTCTCTTGAAATACTGCATTGTATTCTGTTCATTCAAATCAGTAAATATAACACAAAAGGCTGTGGACAGAACACCCAATCAAACCACCAATCAAGACCCATCTATACCTCTGCTTCACATTTTGAAACACAAGGTGTTTCATGCTGCCTGTGAACAGGAATTAACCTGCACCACACTAGGTCACCAGCGAAACACTTTAAAAGTCTTTAAAATAAATGCACCACATATTGGTTATAAAAACAATTAGGAGACGAAAATGTAAAAAAAAAAATGTCCTGCAGAATTTTCTTTTTCTTTATATACAATGACCATTAACCAAACCCATGTATATAAATAAATTCATTATACATACTGGAGGGTAGAAGATATCAATAGTAATAGTAACTGCGCCTAATTAGCTTGTAGTGACTGCCTCACACAGTGATGAAGAGCACTCACCAGCAATGAGAAATTAATTTTTAAATGAATATTTAAACATACTCTCACCCATACACACATACCCACCACACCCCAGTACCAGTGTGACTGGTTGGCCAACAAGGTTATCTGCAGGACATCCGAGAGTGATGTAATACAAAAGCAGGCTCACATACAGTCACAAACACGCAGATAACCAATGGCAATGTGACTAGTTGACTGACAAGATTATGTCCAAGACATTCAGGAGTGGTGTAATGTGGAAGCATGACGCATGAGCACGCATGCACACACGCACGCACACACACACACACCAGAGTTGGGGCCATTCTGGAATACATTCATCAATTCAAATCCAAATTAGGGAATGGAACTATGTGGAGAAGAATTTGAATTGAATTCAAATTTCAGGGAGATTTAAATTCCAACTCCAGTTCCATTTCCTGATTTGGAAATAGAGACACAAACAATGACACAGCACTCCAGTTACATACAGGTGTATCATTACGGTCTTGTTACTTCTCAATACTTAGGATAAAAAAGCAGTGTGGTTTTCATTCATGCTGTGAAGCCACTTCCCCGCAGAGAGGCTTTGCAGTGCCTCTGCTTCTGTACCTGCGAAGGCCTTGGAGATGCGGTCTTTCTTCCATTCCCAGGGCTGGTCATACTCTTCTGGGGGCCGCTCGTCATCCTGAGGCAGTCGGCTCTCCCTGGGGCACCGGGGGGGCTCCAGGTCAGACTCCCCGCCATTCTCTGTTGGCTCATAGGGTGTGTCGTACAGGGGCAGCTGTCGAAGTGGTCCATCCTTAGGGCCTCGTCCACCACGGATTTCTGCAGGGAAGAGGGGGAAGATCAACGCTAACTGCAGAACCCCGCACCCGCCGGCTTTATGGATTTTAAAAAGGGTACAAATTTCTGACTCACTTAAAAATGTACTCACACCCTAACTGAAATCTTTCAAATGGCCACATCTTACGTAACGTGTACCAACAGTAGAAAAGAATCATCAGGGCCAGAAATCCCTCTTCGCTGCACTTTGCAAAATTTCAGGCCTTTAAAACCCTCGGAACTGTGCGGCAGAATGAATTCTAGCCTCCCATTATGTATCTCTAAGTGTGGGAGAGATGGCCGTCAGCCACACCAGCCAAAACAGCAGGATACAAGGAGTATAATAAAACAGGAGTCCCTCTGCTGCCTATATGCTGCCAAAGCACTTTGAAGGTGGCTGCCTTTTGTTTTGGCTGTGCAGGACACAGACACAGACACAGGAGGGAGGAACACCCCTTCAACGAGACACAGGGCAGCTCGCCCCTCTTTCAAGGTCTATGAAATTGTTATCCAGCCAGGCTAGTCACGGTAAGGTATGGGGTGGAAACTGAAATATTACACTGCCACGCTTCATAATTGTCTCCTAGCCCAGGGGAGCCCTTGTGGGGAAAAATGAGAAAAGTGTCATGCGTAATGGAGCTGGCTAGTGGTGGTGGTGGTGGGGGGGAGAGAAATCTTTAAACAATCTTTCAGGAGGCAAAGACTCCCTCTCTTTGATCTCTGTGTTCAAAGTGTCTGATTTTAAGAGTGCTTGGTGAGATGTGTGTCAGTGCCCTGGAAAAAAAAGAAAGGCACATTAAGAAAATTGGGGTGGGTGGGTGTTAAAGAGGATGGATGAAGGAAAAATCAATGTGAAGGTGGGAGAAGTACGGCGGTCTTAGCAGCCGGGTGTTAAGTTACGAGGGTAGAACTTTTGGAAGAGGGGGTGATGGTGTGTGAATCTCATTTGTGGGCGGTGGGGGGAGGCGCTCTAATTAGGGGACGTGCGACTGTGAATAAACTGCTGGAGGAGATTAGGAGGCCCAGTGAGGGAGGAGGGGTGGGCAGAGGCACGTGGAGACCCTGCCACGCTCAAATGTCACACACACACTGCATGGATCAAAGCCCCAGCTGTCTGAACAGGAGACTGATGCAGATGACATCTGCCATGGTGAGCATAACATTCTCACGTGACCCATGCAGCCCACCTCCCTGGTGAAGGGTCAAAAGCTGCATACGCCGGTCTTCCCAGAAACCCAGGCGCTATGCTCCAGTCTCCCAAGGAGCCGGCTGCTGATTCTATATATTCTCTCTGCAGCTGCACATCCACAGCTGCACATTCCACATTCAGGTCCTTGCACCATTTAGCCAAATAACTTGCTGCCATAGACTGTATCTAATTAAATGCTGGGCAGATACATATGGAAGACAAGGGGGTTTCGCCTTCCATGGCCTGTGGATGTGTCTAGTGCTTCGCTTTACCCAGAGTCATTAGCACTGACTCTCTTTAGGACTCCAACCTTTAAGTCTTAACAAACTTGTTTTATTAAACTGACAATTAACTTACCTACCAGTGACAACCGAGTCAACCCCTCCACAGCAATGGGTTTTTCTAATCCAGCTACTGCCAAAGCCTAAAATGGTTCCATAGGCATCTCATAGACCAAAATGGATGTGTTTTATTGATTAAGTGCTTCATCCCGACTTCATGGAAGAATATGCAGTCTAAGCTCTTAAAAGCCCCTGGCACAGTGCATGCTAGTGATTGAAAGGGTACTTCTCCTTCTAAGGTAAGGATTACTTTATTAACCCTACAACCCCTTAAAACTATAGCACACAAACAAAAACATGTGAGCTTCAATTCAAGGCCTCTGTGTTCTCACTCGTCCATTCAGGAAGCAAGACCACTGTCACACTACCATCTAATTACATGTACTGCACTCTCTACCTCCAGCTGCGGTCACACTGCCTGCACATGCCTGAGCTCTCTTGCACACGGCGAAGCTATTTTTACACACGTGTGGTTCTGTGTTGTATGTGTTTAAAGTAGGCCAGAGGAGGAGCTTTTGCTAAGATGCTGGCCGTAGGCAGAAGCGCTGTAGCTTGGCCAATATTCAGGCAGAGACTCTCTATTATAAATGACTTACATGTAGAATGAGACTGACAAAAATCACAAGTTTGGTCAAGTCAAAGATGACAAAGACAGAGATGTGACGTGACCAACAGTAGATTTTGTATTTCTCAATTTCTGATAGACAATCCACTTCAGTCAGAAAGGGGGCAGTCATGCAGAAGTGGGGGTCAGTCATCCATAAGGAGCTCGCACACTGAAAGGATTTGCTCAGTGGGTTGTGGTTGGGCCTGCAGCAGAAATGTAATGTTTCACCACTTCCATTCGCAGTGGGGAAGGGGTCAGCCTCTGTGGGGCAGGGTGCCATCAAATGAAGCCGGCAGAATATCGCAGCAGGTACGACAAATCATTTATTTGACACTACAATGTACACCAACTGGCGCACGCAATTAACTTAAACAGATCATACTTCACCACTCTGACTCCTTTTGACACATTATAAAGAAAGGAAAAAGAAAGGGTGAGTTAATGGCAAGTCAAGAGGAAGGCATCCATAACCCAGATGAACAGACTATACACATCTCGGCCATAGCAGTTCACAGCTTCCCAGAGTGTGGATCGTCCAGACTGTCACCTCTCCATTTTTTATAGTGCATCCCCCCCCCCCCATATATATTAACATGTTCTCTCACAGCTCTGTTTCAATCTGTCAATGCGTAGGTGTCCATTCCACCGCTTTTCACAGGTCCCTGAGGGAGGGGGAGTGATGCTCAGCAAAAATAAATGCTGGGTGCAGGCCAGGCTCTGCAGAGGAGGACTCTTAATTACAGTCTTGAAGTGGAAAGGCGGAGCTCTGGAAGGAGGGACATCAGGAAGAGGCAAAATACCGAGAACCAACGAGAGACCTATAATTCTCCAGTTAAGGAGCGTTTAACAAAAAGGCTCGCTTTTTAATCTGAAATTTATTTTAACGTTTCCGTCAGCATAACCTCAGTAGACCTCTTTGGGAGGTGCATCTGTTGGTCCCTTTCTAGGTAATTTCTTTGCTCATGTTTTCAGAGCGTCTCCCCGCCTCGGGAATCAGGGCGATGGGAACAAAGCAGCTGAGATCAATAGCCTTTGCAGGCGTCTGTTTCACTGCGACTGTATCTCCTGGGGCTCAGTCATTTGCCTCTGAGAGCAGAGGGGCACAGCCACACGTCCCCATAGATGCTCATACGCACTGCGCCAAACCATGCTGCGTATGCTGGGTCTGTGCACCACCATGGGGCAAGGCAATTTGGGAAAGGGGGGGCGACTGAATCTTGTATGCTATACATTAGCGGCTGTGACTGGCCTGGGGGGCAGTTTATGACTGTTAGTCCAGTGACACTCTGCACTATAATCATATATAACAGGACTAACATGCTTCCATATTTGTTTGCTAAATTGTTTTAGTGGTTTATGGGTTTAGCGTTATCAAATTCAATTTTTTTTATATTAAGGTGCAAAAAATGCACTTTGAGCTCTATTTGCAAAGCCTGTCCTCATCATATGGGTTATATTTGCACCTCTGCATTCAATACAGCAGAATTTCTACAGATGAACAAACCCATATGCATACAGCAGGCAGAAAAATCAGCTTATGTTTACTATTGTTGTTTGTTTTTGCTGCAAGATAATCTACAACTTCTGTAATACAGTTAGTGTTATGTATGCAAGACTTCAGACTTTCCATATTAACATCAATATATATCTGCACACATTTTCCATAAGTATCATAAACACCATATATCCTCACTGTTTTGAAGCATTACTTGTTTAAGGCAAAAAACTGGCAATTTCACATTTCAGCATATTGGTATCTAAGAGGTGTGTCAAGTGGGTCTTCGTGTTTTGAAGTAACCTTAAGCTGAAGAAAACATTTCATTATTACAGAATTTTGTGCCTCAGCAGACACTATTATGTAAGAGAGGAAAGGCCCGCAGATCTGGTAGTCCCCCTGATGCAGCCAAAAGACATAGCTTCATTGTGACTATTGATACCATTGGGCTAAGTCACACTGGTTTTAGGTCTGTGACAGGTCAAGCAAGTATATGCAACTCCCCCACCCAAAACCCATCCTGAATAACAGACTGCCACCTACTCACAGTGCACTGAGATACACGAGAATGCTATAGCAACCCTAATAAATTATTTATTTTTTACAAGGGCCATAAAACCAGTAATCTAGCTATGATGAATGGAAATCTGAAATTCATAACTACGGAGGCGTATAAATATGAGAAGTGTGTCGATGTAAGACACTACCATAACACATATTTCAGTTTTAAAGGTTATACAGTTATGACTGAAAGCTGGACAGCTTTTAAACAAACAACATGTGGCGTGACAGAGTAGCATTCCTGCTTTATTGTAAATCAAAGTGCCTTTGCGAACGAGAACCAGGCTTTCCGACAAAGTGTAAGTAATGACGTGCAGGTTGGAAATGAACCACATAAATAAAATTGCTGTGTTACGTTACCATGCCAACTATTAAAGAGATCGTTATTATGGAAAACGGATCAGGAATCCTTCTGATACATATTGAAGGGACCTGGCTGTTCTTAACAGTCTGGCTGTGTCGTCCTTATGCAAATGTGTGTCCGTTACCACCACAGGCAGCAGCATTGATTCAGCCAAGCTCTAATGGCAGATTATAGCTCATTAGCACTCAGGTATGGGCTCATTAATGGAAGATAGATGGGATCTTTATCTAAAAAATGTGGTGACACTACATGGAAATCAGGATGGGAAAAGCAGGGGAAAATGCCTATAGGGAGCGAGTATTTAATTACATATGGATATACCAAGCTACAAGAAAATTCACCAGGCAATTAAAATACATACTAGATGTTTTATAGATCCTTGTAAAACTCTTCCCCTCCAACAATTTGGAAAATGTGATGGAATAACGACAAAAAAAAAGAGTCAT